ACATACCGTCATTCGGGAAGGTGTAGGAAGGGCCTCTCAACATCCATGGTAAGTTTTAATTTCATCCAAATTAACTTACAACACTGCATAGCGGCTTCGAGGGCCCTTACTCAGGAGATCACTCGAGGCCGACATGACGTGGCTCTCATCCAGGAACCCTGGCTGAGAAACGGTTCAGTAAACGGGCTTAGTATACCAGGCTATACGCTTTTTAGCGATACTCCGGACACTAAGCCCAGAGCTTGCGTAATGACTTCCGTCAACTCATGGCAACTTAAAGAATTTACATTTAGAGACTTAGTTGCAGTCAGAATTAGATATAAGAAGGAAGGCAGTGACAGGGACTTGGTTGTCTGTTCGGCTTACCTTCCTTACGATTCAAGAGACCCTCCTCCGTCTAAGGAAATGGGGGACCTTGTCGCATTCTGTAGGGATTCTGGACTCGACCTTGTGATTGGATGCGACAGTAATGCCCATCACGTTGCGTGGGGCAGCTCGAACACCAACAGACGAGGCGAAGACCTGATGGAGTTTCTTGGGGCATCGAACCTTGAGGTTCTGAATGTCGGTAACATGCCCACTTTCAGCAATAGTGTAAGAGAAGAGGTTATCGACGTAACACTGAGCACGCTTAACTTAGCTCAGGACATCAGGGACTGGAAAGTGTCTCTAACACCCTCTCTATCGGATCACAGGTATATACTGTTCAAGACTGATGGAGAGATTCCGGATAAATATGCTCGGAATCCCAGGCATACTAGATGGGGGTCCTTTAGGGCAGACATTGACAGTAAGCTTGGAGCGGTCCCATACAGGCTTGGCAGGGGCTCTGACATAGAAGCAGCTGTCGAGTCTCTGAGCAGGGACTTGACGGCCGCATATGAGGAAAACTGCCCGTTACGCAAAGTACAAGGTAAGGGCAAGGCAACCTTCTGGACCAAAGATTTAGAGGATAGAAAACGAGCGGTGCACAAACTTCTTAGCAGAGTTAAGCACAGGAGAGGTTCTCCTCTATGGGAAGAATACAAAAAGGCATTGCAGGAGTACAAAAAGGAGATTAGAAGGGCCTCCAGAGAATCCTGGAGGCACTTCTGTCAGTCCATAAATGACATTCCTGCTACTGCAAGAATACACAGAGTCCTATGCAAAGACACTAAAGCAAGATTGGGATCTCTGCATGATCCCTCGGGAGGGAACACTACTTCCGAGGAAGATACTCTGAGGCTTCTGATGGATACGCACTTTCCCGGTTCCACAGTAGCGCGATCAATCACAGAGTGCATGCAGTTGCGCAGGCCCTCAAGGGAGGACTGGCGCACGGCAAGGGAGATTGTCACCTTCGAAAGGACGGTATGGGCAGTAGATTCGTTTGCCCCATACAAAAGTCCAGGTCTGGACGGCGTATTTCCGGCCATGTTACAGCAGGGACGGATTTCGGTTGTTCCTTACCTGTTGAATGTGTTTCGAGCATGTGTGGCCACGGGCTTCACACCTAGAAGTTGGCGGCAGGCTAAAGTGGTATTCATTCCTAAACCGGGCAGAGATAGATATACTGGCCCGAAGGATTTTCGACCGATTACTCTTTCATCTTTTGTGCTTAAGACCCTGGAAAGGATAGTTGATAGATACCTAAGGGATGGCCCACTGGAAAGGTGTGTCATTCATGCAAATCAGTTTGCATACCAAGCTGGAAAATCGACTGATCTGGCCTTACACAATCTGGTTGGGAGGCTGGAGAAGACTCTAGATCAGCGAGAAGTGGCACTCGTGGCCTTCTTAGATATTGAAGGTGCATTTAATTGCACCACAACCGACTCTATCAGACAGGCCTTGGTTAGACACGGGGTTGGATCAATCCTAATAGATTGGGTCCTCTCTACTCTGGAGGGTCGGGTAACAACAGCTATGCTGAATAACGTAAGCTGCAGCGTGAACGTAGCTAGAGGCTGCCCTCAGGGTGGAGTTCTGTCACCCCTACTGTGGTGTATCGTGGTGAACGAACTGCTCGTTAGGCTCAACAGTATGGGTGTCTACGTGCAAGCCTATGCTGATGACGTAAGCATAGTGGTTAGGGGGCGTTTCTGTAGAACAGTCTCGGAAATTATGCAGGGCGCTCTGCGCTCCGTGGAATCGTGGTGTAGGGAAGTCGATCTTTCTGTTAATGCTGAAAAGACCGAGCTGATCCTATTCACTAGGAGAAGAAGGCTTGACGGACTGGTCATGCCTACCTTCTTTGGGACTAGATTAGTTTTGTCCCAGTCAGTGAAATATCTGGGAATTATCCTGGACTGCAAACTGAACTGGAGAGAGCATGTGGAACACAAGGTTAGCAAGGCTCGCAATTCGATGTGGGCTTGTAGACGTGTTGTCGGTGTAAGGTGGGGGCTTAAACCCAAAGTGGTATACTGGCTCTACACGACGATAGTACGTCCATCTCTCTTGTACGGCTCCCTGGTCTGGTGGCCTTGCATTAGAACTGAGTCAACTAAGGCCAAACTCAATAAAATTCAGCGTTTGGCCTGTATTAGCATTACAAGCGCAGTGCGAACAACGCCATTGAGTGCAATGGAAGCTCTGTTGGATCTCCCACCGTTGGATCTGGTGATCCGCGGTGAAGCGAGAGTAGTCGCTCATCGACTGTGGAGTCAGGGCAGCTGGGCTTTCTTGAATCCGGTCAAGGGGCATACTGCCATATTAGTCGAATTAGATAGGGAGGACCCCGTCCTTCTAAGCAGGGGTGATCGTATTACCCCTAAATATCGCTTCAACCGCAAGTTCATTGTGGAGTACCCAACGAGGGAGGAGTGGGACGCCGGTAGCCGAGGACTCTCCGAAGTGAGCGGGCAGGTCTGGTACACGGACGGCTCGGTCACCGAAGAGGGCTCAGGTGCTGGGGTCTCTGGACCTAGAACTAGGCTATCTCTGCCTGTCGGTGAGTACACCACCATTTTCCAGGCGGAAATCTTTGCGATTCTGGCTTGTGTATCTCACATTCTGGAGGAGGGTGGGCCTAGGAGAAGAATAACAATCTTATCCGACAGCCAGGCTGCAATGAAAGCACTAAGTGCATGTAAGATTACTTCGAGTCTTGTATTGCAATGCAGGGAGGCTCTGGATTGCCTCGCAGCGAGGCATCCGGTATCGTTAATATGGGTACCGGGGCACGCTGGGATAAGGGGCAATGAGACGGCGGACACTCTGGCGAAAACAGGATCAGCCAGCAAGCTCGTTGGTCCTGAGCCAGCTCTAGGAGTAACCGCGCATAAAGCTAGGAGGAAAATGGAGACGTGGGTTGCAAGACAACACTCTCAGAAATGGAGAAGTATCTCTAGACATCTCCGCCAGGCACGAGAGCTCATTGAAGGGCCCAGTGCTAAGGATGGACGCTTCTGCCTATCTCTGGGTAGAGCCAACCTAAGGTTGCTGGTGGGACTGTTGTCTGGCCATAACACGTTAAGGCGGCACCTGCACGTGATGGGGGTGGCTGAGGATCCCTTATGCGAACGCTGCGGAGTAGAGGAAGAGACCTCGGCGCACGTTTTGTGTCGCTGTGAAGCTCTGAGCTACTATAGGCAGACTATACTGGGGTCCATTACTTTGGACCCTCAGGACGTAAAGGAGCTTGGACTCAAGGCGATTCTCAACTTCGCTAAAAGGGCGAGGCTTGTGATTTAAGTATTGTAGAGGTGCATAAGGGCCCGCTTAAGCGGCCTATGCACTGGCTCCTTATGGTGGCCGGGATGCCTCTAAAAAATTCAAGATTCATTCAATACTTGAGAACCTCAAAAATACCTTCAGCCGCGTTTTTAAGCATTGAAAACGGTCATATCAAGGGTCTTTTTGACTTTAGTTGCATGTTACTAAGGACCTCTTTGGTTCATAATGATACAAAGAAATCTGAAAAAAAGCTTTGTCCAAACGAGAAAATCAATTGTTCGTAATTTGTTTGAAAAAAAAAATGTTAACCAACTTCACACCAGGCTACCGTCCGATAACCAACCGCAAAAACGTACCGTAGTAGAATAAGGCTCCGACAAAGTGGCGTCAAGTAAGTTGACTTTGTACTTCCCACGCTGCGTCTTTCTCAGTACAGGAAGGATTATGTTCGGTACATACTAAACTTTCTGAGAAGAAAAAGTCAGTCAAACATGGTCCATATAATTAGTCCATAGACATCCTTTCGCGATTTTTACTTTTTTCGTTTTAGGCTTTTTTCTCTGCCGCCACTGTACCGATTTTCAAATACTAAAGGTTTTTGCATCCTTTGCATAGAGGAAATTATGTAACAATTTCATCGAAATCCGAGCGGTACTTCTCAAGTTATAAGCGGTTATAGGATTAGCGGACAGATCAACAGACAGACAGACCGAAGGAAATGTGTAGCATGGTTTTTCGTGGTGTACGTGTCATATAATATCCAAAAAACATACTATATTATTTTCGATAATTTTCCCGATTACATTACTTCCCCGCCAGGAAGTAATGAGCAAAATTACAAAAATATATTTTGAAACAAATCTCTTACATCGCCTATATTATTTTCTAAAAAAATATTTAACAAAACATTTAACAAAAAATTAAATATAAAGTAAACCGTCTCGTAGGGCCGTATCGTCAGTCGTTCCTAGAATTGTAGGACGCCTTTATAGCCTCCTTGATTTTCATAGTTTTCAACTCTTAAGTGTCAGCGCTCTATTTTGTGGTTATGTTACAAATGTCTATTCGCCTCATTGTTCATGCTTTTGATTTATATCATCTGCTATATCCGCCTGAAATTACCTACAATTCAAAAAGAAAACATAGCCTCACAATATTAGAGCACTGACGATGACACTGAACAGTAGAAATCAAGAAATATCCCAGCCTTTCTGAAGGAGAGAAAATATTATACAAATCAAGAAGGCCATAAAGGCGTCCTACAATTGTAGGAACGACTGACGATACGGCCCTTAGTGTGGAAAATATAAAACGAATTCTGTATTCTGTATTCTCATACTTACTTGAGATTCTTCAATTCATAAACAGGCGATTTATTGCTAATATTAGTGATAAGTCCTCCAAACTGCCATTTTTTCTCATAATGCTGGCACTGGTACAGTATCCTGTGATGCACCCCCGGTGGAAAAATATTCAGCGACGACGGAATTTTCCAACTAAGGAGTATTGAGTGAGGTGAAGTCGCATTGGCAGTTAGCTTCTCAGGAGCGTTTGGCCGCACATTTTTGAAGTGGTCAAAGGGAAACACCTGAGTTGTCATGTTGAAGACGTTCCACATTGTCAGAGTGAAGTCGAATGCAGGATGAGCTTGCCTGTACTGGGGGTTCGTCGATATGTTCCAGAAACAGTGCATTTTTGGGGGATCTCCTTTTTCGTATTCCAGGTTTGGACACCGGTGTGGGTTAAGTCTGAAAACCGAGAAAATGCCTATCATGCATCAGATGTCAAGCACCATACGTATACAGTAGGGTGTCCCAGAAAAATTAAAGCTCTTTTTTTCAAATGCATACCCTCTTATTATGCTTGAACAACGTCAAAACAATTGTAAATAAAGTTTTATGTACCTAGAACCAGGGCAACCCTTGCCGAGTTGCGTTGGAACATGTCAAAACTTGCATATTAGGCGCACGCTAGCTGATGTGTTGCAGTGCTCGTTTGTTCTATTAGTAAACGCACTGTTTTCGTTCAGTCAACATGTCGAAGGAACGCAGTTCTTATGCCAACCTTACTATTCGAGAGTGCATTATTTACTGGGAAAAGGCACGTATACCGACTAACTACCTAACTGTGATAACAAACTAATTACCTTATACCAAATTTGAAGAGATTTTCAAAAAACAAGAAGTGTTTGAGCAACGTCGACAAGAGTTTGTTACGAAATTGGACAAACTGTTTGATATTGCGCATGCCGATGCCCTTCAACTGATGAAAGTGTGTTAAATGAAGATAGGATCTTCTTGCAGCGGCAGAGAGAGCCAGTTCGACCTGGTCATTTGGCTGGGGTAGACAAGAAATTAGCCATAAAAGAAGAAAAGACGCGTATTAATAACACCGAAGAACAAAAGCGGCGAACCAGTGCTAGAAAATTCATCTACAGATTCCTAGTTAGATTTACAAGAAACTCAGAGTACACAGCCTGATACTAATCAAACTCAAGTTAGTGGCAGCATTAGATAGGTGTCAGTTAAGTATAAGAAATGCTGTTTTTATTATTGAAGCAGCCATTGGGGCACTTGGACATAACACTGACGAGTCTCCTATAAACAAGTCCTCAATTCAAAGAATGCGTACCGAAAAGCGAAAGGAGTGCGCAGGAGCTATAAAGCTTGATTTCCAAATCGAAGTACCGGATACTGTAACTGTCCACTGGGATGGCAAATTGTTGCCACCTTTAAATGCACGCAAGTCTAAAGAAGAACGTCTACCAATTGTTATAACGTATGAGAATAAACATCAACTTATCGCTGTGCCCAAACTGGATATCTCTTCAGGCAGCGAGTAGCCTCAGGCAGTTTGGGATGCTATTATTGACTTGAATCTTGAAGATCAAGTTCAGATTTTCTGTTGTGATACTGCTGCTTCAAATACGGGTTCCAATAACGGTGCCTGCGTGCTTCTCGAACAGAAACTTAACAAAAAAAAAGGCTTATTTTTGCTTGCCTTCACGTCTACGAATTGGTGTTAAAAGGCGTATTTGGATCAGAGATCGACCAAGTGACTACAAGCCCTGGCATTCCAATGTTTGAAAGTTTCGCGAGAGCTGGAAAAGTGTGGATCCCGAGAAAACACAGATTTATACCGAAAAGCTATCATGCCTGAATATTTCAGAGACTGACAAGCTGCTAGAATTTTATCGACATGAATTGACCAAAGAAGTTGCTAGAGACGACTATCTAGAATTAATAGAACTTTCAATTCCTTGGCGGAGATACAGAGAAAAAATCAAGATTCGGCCGCCAGGCGCCAGGTATCATTGCCTGAGCAATCTATTCAATAAAAATAGCGTTAATAAGTTCCCAGCTCAAACTTTCTAATAAGGATATGACAGCTCTGTTAGATATCTGCCTGTTCATCGTGACAACATACGTGAAATCGTGGTTGCAATGCACTTTAGTGGTAAAACCAGGACTTATGCTTTTTAAAGGCAATGAAGGCTTACGAAAGAATTGACAAAACCATTTCAAAAGCAGCTTTAGAAAAGTTATGCCAACATTTATGGTACCTATTTGACATATGAGGTATCTGTCATATCTCTGTTTAACGACGACGTAGATGAGGAAACTAAAGTAAAAATTTCGCTAATTAAGCCAAAGAAAGTCCATCAGCCCAAGGTAAACGCTACATCCCATCCTAAGAAGAACTTTCTGGCTCACTTTATGGTAAGTCTGACGAATAAATTTTCCCTTGACTTCTACTGCTTCGCAAGAATATGCTAACTGTTAAAATAAGCCACCATAAACTACGATTCTCAAAAAAGCACAAAACATCTGTCCATGGTTGACAGTCTCTAGTCGGAAAGACAAAACTAGTATATTTAGATTGTAGCTATGCTTATAGATGACAGTTTTCTCGACGAGTGTCCTACTTCATAGCTACATAATGATTCCTTTCAACACGCTAAGAATAAGGTGCAAACGCTGAGAGCAGTTAACGATATGACAGAAAGAGCAGTCACGTTAACGCAAGACTTCCGTGGCCTAATCACAGCTGATGAGAAACAAGAACAATTTTTATTTTATATCTTTGAAAAGAAAATTTAGTAAATAATGTTCTTTTAATAATAAATATCTACGAAATATAAGATACAAATAAAGCAGTGTTTTATTTGTCGAATAAGAATTAGGTTTTGAAATTCATACATGGTTTCCCTATTAAATTAGAGGATATGCGTATGTCAATTCGAACAAAAATTTGTTTGCCCTCATAGGCTGGGACACCCTAGTATACAGTAGATGGCTCTTACGATACATAGCACGGAGTGGAGCACGCACCTAATCGGATTGTTTGCCTCTGTTATTAATAGATGGACAATTTAGAAGTCTTTGAAAGCATGGAAATATTAACAGTTCACTATACCGGGGTATCTTTATTATAAAAACAAAAGAAGAATCCATGACATTCGTTTTTTTAAATGTTGCCCGACACTTCGGGTAACGTGATCGATTTAAAATTTCAAAGGATCAGTATCTAAAGGGTGTCTCCTAAATAACACTCCATAGTGACACGGGAGATAGATTGACTTCAAATCAATGAGATAAAATCAACACGGCCTTAGTAAAAAATTTCTAGTTTTCGAGATATTACCACTTTCAAGTTTTTTCAAGAAATCACTACTGTTTGCTCTTTTTTGCATATTACGTGTATAAAGAACTTCTAACTTATGATTTTTATCCTTAGCTACCATTAATAGTTCTTTGAGATAACCAAGTATTCATTACATTGAAAAGCACGGTATGCTAAAAAATATTAAATTTTGTTTCAATGTGAAAACCTTTACGAAATCTTGACTAATTACTATGAAAAAAAAAATGTAACAGACTGAATCGGCAAATGATGTTAAAAACTAGTCTATTTAATACTTTTTTTTTAAACAGTATAACATTTGTAGATTCTTCTCTACCCATACTTTTGGAAGATGTGCCTCTTGACACAAGAAGAATGTGGTTGGGTGCCCTGGTATGCGAGTGCAGTACGAGGGTGTCTTGATGAAACATTCCCTAGAACATGGATTGACCGGCTAGGACCAACTTTGTGGCCCACACGCTCTCCAGACCTGAACCCTCTGGATTTTTTACTGTGGATGTTTGAAAGATAAGGTCTATGGAAAACCAGTTCGATCAGCCTGTGAATCCGTCAAGCAGCATGCGAAAAGTTCGATTTAAAAGGACAATGTTTTAAGAAGATTTGAGAAGATGCAGGTTGTATGGTGGTGGTAGAAATTTTGGAAATCTGTTATGAAAATAATAATAATAATGATGATAATAATAATAATTTATTTCAGGCAATATTTACATTACAAGATGTTAATTTAATTTTCATTTCACTTATTATTTTTTATTTGTACTATTTCGCAATGACAAAACTTGGAATTATTCAGTTCTTAGTAAAAAGAACCTACAAATGTTATACTATTTTTGAAAGAACATTAAATAGCTAGTTTTTGAGGTCATTTGCTGATTCAGTCTGGTAAATGTTTTCACAGTAGTCAGTCAAACTTTAGTAAAAGTTTTTGCATTGAAATCAAATGTAATAACTCAGTTTTTTTAGCATAATGTGATAGTTTTTAATGAAATGAATACTCGGTTGTCTCAACCGACTATTAATGGTAGCCCAGGAAAAAATCATAAGTTAGAAGTTCTTTATAGCCATAACAGGCAAAAAGGAGCAAAACGTAGAGATTTTACGAAAGAACTTAAAAGTGGCAGAATCTCGAAAACTAGAAAACTGTTACTAAGGTCATGTTGATTTTATCTAATTGATCTGAGTCCAATCTACTTCCCGTGTCACTCTGGCATGTTAATTCTGGGACACCTTGTATAAGCGGGCTTTTCGGCTCTGAAATAACTAACTAACTAAAATTTCAAGCTGATCGCAACTATGAAATGTACGACGGCGGTCCGATAAGTATTTAGCCTCACTGCCCGATGGCACCACTATCGCAAGAGAAATTTACTACTGTGACGGCTGCTGTCGAATCGAACTAGTAATTTTGTTTTGACCGCGTGAGGAAGCGGGAGTGTCCGCGGATTTTAGAAAAATGTAAAATGTGCAATATCTATCGGTAATTCGATTCTTGTTTTTGGAAGGGAAATCACGCAGCGAAATCAAAAAGCGCTTGGATGCTGTGTACTGTGACTCTTCTCCTTGACGACCGTCAAAAATTGATTCAACGAGTTTCAACATGGTCGCACGTCGGTTTTTGATGAGCTACGCCCAGGTACCCCGAAAACGGCTATCATGCAGGATTAGGTAACAAACATCCACGATTGGCAGACCGCCGATAGCTGAGACAGAAGGCACCTCAGAAGACCACGCGGGCCATATAATGCATGAAATATTGGGCATGAGGTAGCTGTCTGCGCGATGAGCGCCGCGTTTGCTCACTCCAGACAACCGTGAGACCACTTCAGAGCAGTGTTTGACGCTGTTTAAGCTCAATCCGAATGCATCGTTTCGTGACCGTCGACAAAACATGGATCCACTGGTACACAACAAATACCAAGTAACAGTCGAAAAAGTGGATTTCACCTGGCGGTGGTGGCCACCGTTTTCTGGGATTCACAAGGTATAATCTACATCGACTATCTGGAGAAGGGCAAAACGATCATAGGGCTCTACTATGCCTAATTATTGGAACCATTCGACGCCGAATAGCAGAAACACACCTCCGCTGTCACCACGGCTATATTGGTTGAATTAGGCTGCGAACTGCTGCCCCATCCAGCGTGTTCTCCAGCTTTGACCCCGTGCGACTTCTTTTTGTTTCCAAAATTAAAAAAGTCACTCGCCGAATGAGGTTATCGCGACCACGGAGGCCTACTTTGCAAACGTATACTAAGTGACATATAAATCCGAACACCCAGTTTAAATGGTTTTATTTTAATAAAATTTTGTATAAATACTTAATGAAGCATGATAAGTAAATGATAAAAATTTCAAAATGATTGCACTGCTTTAAAGCCCTTTGACCTTTAATAATGTGTGGATGCACCCTGATGTGCTACGCATTCTCCAACGCGCCTAGGCAAGCTTCTGATCAGGTGGTCAATGTCCTCCTGTGGTATCTCATTCCAGGCAACCACCAACTCCTCTCGAAGTGCTTCTAGAGTCAGAGGAGGACGTTGCAAATTGAGCAATCTCCTACCCATCATATCCCACACGTGCTCAATTGGGGATAAGTCGGGAGATCTTGGTGGCCATGGTAACAATGTGACATCATTATGTTGAAAGAAGTCTATTGTGACTCTTGCAACATGTGGTCGGGCATTATCTTGTTGGAAAGTTGGATCTGCCAGGGTGTCAAGATAGGGTAAAAGATGGGGTTCTAGTGGATATAACGCTGCGCGTTTATGTTACCTCTGATGAAGATTAAAGGTGACCTGGAACCATAAGCTATAGCACCCCAAACCATAACTCCAACAGTGTGATGAACATGTCTTTCAACAAAAAACTGTGGATTCCTCCTTTCACCACGTCGCCTTCTAACCCTGGCACGACCATCGTGCATGCCTAAACAAAATCGAGACTCGTCACTAAAGACAATACTGTTCCATTCCTGATCCCAGAGTGACCGTTGTCTGCTCCACTCAAGGCGATTACGTCGGTGTTCTCGAGTTAAAGGGAGGACCCAGTGTGGCCGGTATGAAAACAAGCCAAAACTTCTCATTCGTCGGTAAATACTTCGCATGCCAATAGGTCTTCCGTGTTAAGGCCAATAATCTTATGCGGCGATCTTCACGGTCTGTTGTTCTACGGCGGCGTCCAGTGGCCCTTGCTCGTTGCGTACGGCCTTCTCGAAGCCATGCCTGACAACACCTAACCACAGTGTCTACAATTCTTTGCACTCTAACTGCAATTGCCCGAAAAGAAAGTCCAGCTTCCCGAAGTTCCACTATACGGCCCCTATCAAACTCACTAAGTTGACGAAATCGTACAGGTCTCCGTACTCTAGGCATCGTAACCGATCGTAAAGAACCAAAATCCGCCAACGTTGATTCTTTACTGCGGCTGAAATATTCATTTTTAGAGCGTTAGTGAATTAAAAAAAAGCAGTATAAAAACCGGAATGTCCAACTGATAAGGCTGAAAATTGTCACTTGTTATGTACAGTAAGATAAATACATTCACCAACTTTTATTAAAATAAAACCATTTAAACTGGGTGTTCGGATTTATATGTCACTTAGTATATTTTTCAGACGGGTTAAAGTAATTGAAGCATCACTGAGTCAAGTGTATCGAGCTAAATGGAGACTATGTTGAGAAATAAATCGCAACTTTTCAAAAATTTTCGTTTTTCTATTGTAGGCTATAAGTACTTATCGGACCTCCCTCGTATGTATTTTAATATTCGGTCAACATTTTTCTTATTTCAGTACTTCATTGTTCTTTAACGATGAAAAGATACATACATTTCATAGATGTGATCACATTGAAATTTGGCTCATTTTCACGGCCGAAAACCAAGCTTATAGACCCTGATATTTTTGATCAAGCATCCATGTATTCGGTAACTAACACAAATAATGCTGATTTCTAATAATTGAATCGTACTCTATAATCACTGGAAAGACCCGGACGCGCCATCGAAAACTGAAATTCTAGAATATATTTACTTAAAAAAATAAATGTCATTATTCGATAAAAAAGCTAATCCGATAAAGTTATGTTTTCTTTAAAAAAAAACTACATGTAAATGAATGATATTTGAAAAGGTGACATCCACAAAATGCAAAATGATTGACATGATATTCACTAGAAAACAAGTGTCTTTTTCAAATTACCTTCTGTTTTTTTTTGTTATCAATAAAAAGGGTTTGCTTAAGGGGTAAACGGTATTTCGCAGACGATTTCTGGATACAGACATTCGAATTCTTATTTATACATATTTCACAATTCAACGTCAGACTCCCCATTCCATGAGATGCACCCAAATGGCTGTCTACTGTATTTTTTTGATATTATACTGGGTGTTTCACAAAAACGAGAGCATATTTCCTGGGAGTAAGGGCAACTTCGAAAACACGCTGAAGTTCATGAAGTTTGACAGTTTATGTAGTGTATTAGAAGACTAATAAGTGGTGTATAAATCTACGACACCCGGTATCTTGGTAAACATTTTGTGCTATTTTTTGATGTACTTTCTACCCTAGAAATATTGCCACGTTTTTCCGTAACGCTGTATTTATGAGGCATGTTCAAGAGAATATAGATGGTTAGTCAAGCGAAATGTTTCAATTCAAAAAATACAGTGCCTCAAAAAGTATTAAAAATATGACGGCGTAACAGAAAATTTTGATATCGGAAATAAAAATCAAAAAATTCAATAACGCTTCTCAAACGTCACAAATTTTTGAGACAATCCGTATATTTTTGTTAGTCACTGAATAGATGAAATATTTAAGCCAACCGCAATATATTTTCTGGACACCCTGTATATCATGATAGCAATATAATTTGTCAACATTTTATACAGTAGTAAAAGACAATTTTAAGTCTGTTAGCATTATTTTTAACTACTAATTTTGTTTCTTCAAGTTATGATTCAACCGAACATTTTAAATTATGTATATCTTCAATAAAAGTAAATCTATATGTGCCAGAAAAAACGATTTTTAACTTCATATAAACTTCATTTAAAAAAAATAATATAAACATTGGAAGGGGAAAGAAAAAGTATAATTCTTCAGGCCTGTTTAATTATTTGTCTCCTAGACCATTGTCTATGCATAGCTCAATATCGCATATATCTCCGCAAAAGATACAGCGGAGACAGAAGTTTTAAACAAGCATGTTTTACGTTCCAAAGCCTAAAAATTCAATGGTATAATACATAGTATGCATGCTTATTCGTTTGATCGTTAAATCATATAATTCTCTCGTTGCTCATGTTTAGAAAATATGCCGAAAAATACAGTCAACATAGAAAAAAACAAATACAACCCATCACCAAAACATCAAAGTTTAATTTTAGATAGACCGTGCTGGTTAATTCCCAGTATTATATACAACACTATATACAATTTTATACTCTTCACGATGTTTAGAAAATACGACACCGAGTCTTAGAACCAGTTTCCATTTTCAATCAAACACTCCTGAACGGAAATAGGGTTGTAAAGTGAGAGTTTCCGCATTAATGAAACAGCCGTTATAAAGCGGATGTTTTCTGTAAAACAACATCGCAAACTTAACAAATCAAATCAAATTGAAGCACTGTTAAAGTAACTATCCTGACTAACAAATGTCGATGCAAATAGCATAAATCTAACGTTTAAATTGTCCCGAACCGGACACCCATGCGTACAAATAGTGTTTTCTTTTGATAAAATAGGCGTAGTTTGTGTTTGAAATTTACCTACAAAAGAACATAGAACATCCGTCATTCAGGGTCTCGTGCAATCAAACAAACCGAAACAGGCAGTCCACAGTCCCCACAGATTTGGCAACGTTGCAACAACATCCCTACCGACAGTATCGAACATCTGGCAACGTCGCTATGACTTACCTGGCCACTCGCCAGATATCCATCGGTTAGATCATAACGCCGGTATATCCAGAGACGCGTGTGTGGGAAATATTTATCATTCCATGTTTTAAGGATAAATGTATGGGGAAATCTATGATGTGTCGGGTTGGGAGCGCTTAAATTTACTAACGCCAAAACAAACTGAGATATACCCTTTTCGACACCCTACTATACCCAACCCCTTATTATTAATCCCTATTTTTTTCTGGAAACGATCGGGAGCTTCTGAAACGTGAAAAAAAGACACAACTTTTGGGATTACCCTCGTAATTCTATACTTTTCGTGAATACCATAAAGTTCGCGCGACTGGTCATACATGTTACATTTAAACATTACTTAAAAAAAAATATTTGTTATTACATTGTGTGTTAAAACTCTGGCTAACGCATTCTCAACACAATAAGCACTAATTGGAATTATTGCTCCCTGTATATTACAAAACATGTATAACGTATTTTCCTTCACAGATTTTCGAAAAATCAGATTACCTACGATCCACGCCCAAACCACAACATGTTTTCTTTAAATTTCGCATTATTCAATATAAGCACATAAACTGACACACGCAAGCAATGATTTATATTTGGACAGACTACTCACGTTATTTTTCTGACCTTACGTTTTTCGTTGATGCACTTTTTTGAGTTTTTACTGTTACCTAGGCAGCTAGAAAAAATCGAATCACTTTTGGAACCTTTCTTGCAACCAACTGGTCGCATACTTAACTATAATTCAAGATAGATGTAACGATAAATGCACAACAAGATTGGATAAGTATATTGTGCAAAATTTGAGTTCAAGATGTTATTTTTATTTAAAAAAATTATATATTTTCCTCACCTCGTAAATATCTATATATATATATAAAACTTGAATGTACAGGGTGTTAATTAAGCAAGTGCCATAAATTTAACAGAAGATTCTTTGAGTAATTTCAAGACAAAAAGTTCATATAAACATAGGTCCGCAAATTCATCGTTCTCCAGATGTAGGGTGTTGAAATTTAACACGTACATTTTCTGTAATATAATTTCTAGAAAATGTGTTAGTATTATTTTGAGTTTTAAATATCTTTTTCAATATGTACCACCGGTGGTACACGACGGCTTTGATCATTCTTTCTTTCATTATAGCCGTAGTGTACCACCGGTGGTCACTGAGGGGAATGAAAACTTCAGAACACAAGCGGTGTCAAAGAGGGTAGAAATAAAGCCAAGCGTGTCTCTACATTTTGGAAAGATTATCCAGAGCAACCGACACTGTGTCTTCAATGTTTTAAAGAAATTCATAAGTAAAGTTATGTTACCTACCTAAATATATAAGTGATTACTTTCATTGTTGAAAAAATATGTTTACGGTATTTTTCACTAATTATTTTAACCCCTTACCTAACTTCATATGGTTGTTACAGTGTCTTTTAGAAATAAAATCTTTATAACTTTAATTAAATGTCATATAAAATTCACAATTATAGCCAAATGCGGCACCGGTGGCGCTCTAATGTGTACTTACTATATCTATAGCCGTATGAGGTATATACAATTCCTTACTATAAGACGTAAGGATTGGTAGCGCGAGAAATAACTGGAAGTGTACCAACGGTGACCAATGACGTTTTTTGGAAAGACAGGCGATGTACCACCGGTGTACCACGTCTTCGTGAACGTGTTAAAAAATGGTTTTTCGTAAATTTCTTAAATATCTTCCAACTAATTTTGTTGTAATTTGGCAGAGGTATTTATAACATTAAGGAGCTAATTTAACCCTAACTTGGTTAAAATATTAAGTCCAGTGGCGACCTGAGCGGGATCTGAACGAATATTTGTGACAAAAAATGAACGCCTCTGATTTTTGTACAATTTTTATTATGTTCTTCGGAAATACAACTTTTGTTAACTCGCGAATTTTTTTCGTACCTTGCTTAGTTTCAGAGAAACAAAAAGATCCATTAAATTGCATATCCCTGGACCAACAAGGAATATGGAAAAGTTTGTTTTGGAAATTATTTTCTTTAAATAATTTTTTGCTACTAATTATGTAACAACAACAACAACAAACACTAAATAACATTAACATCTAGACTAACAAATTTCACTAAATCAAGTGTTGGAACTGCCACCCTTCGGCTTAAATACAATGGTTGAGGCAGCTATCATTATTGAATTATGCACTTGAGAATATCTGGCGTATTTATATATATATATATATATATATATATATATAACTTGAGACGTGGTCATTGTCGTCTAGACCAGTTAGGTGAAAAATTAAAGCTTCCGCCTTTTGTTGGGTACTTCGACAAAATTTAAGCAAAGAGGACTCTTTATACTTTTTTTAATTCTCTCTAGCTTTCAATGGACTTTGCCATCATCATCAGGAGCTGCAATTACAATGATAACAGTAGCAACAAAGGTGTAAAATGAATTTAAATTGACTCAACTTACAGTAGTATGTGAGGATGTTGCTAATTGTTGTTTACGTATAGGATGAGGGAAACGTCCAGTAACATGGTGAGAGCTGGATAGATTGTACAATAGTCAAACTTATATAAAATATGACAAGAACAAGTTAAAAACAGATTAAAAATTATTTAAAAAATTTAGAGCATTACATCGTGAAGCCACTTGATGATTGCACAAATTAGTGGTCATGGAATGATGAGTGACATGAAACCCTTTGACAGAAGGCCGAAGGATGTCAATGTCAGTATTGAAAGATGGAACGAATTGTGGGCGTGTGCCAAAACGTTGCCAAATCACTTCAGATGATGAGATTTTCAGAATTTTATGTTAGAATTTGTTAAACCGACCAGAGGCAGTTGAATAAACTATATTATTATTAATGGGAATTTAAATTAACAATTATTAATAAATCGTGAGGAGAGAATTATTATATACGTATTTTGAGTGGAATGAAATTTACTGGTGGAATCGGCCAAAACACAGATTCTAATTATGGTTGTGAAGAGTTGAAATTTGGGGAGATATGTAAGTTCTCCAATTTTTCGCAGTTTAGCAAATATGAGTAAATGACACTCAGTTGTTTAACATCTGTCTTTTTGTTGATACAGTTGTTATTCATGAAAATGTGGGACATTTCCAGGAATAAACGTTTGGAAAGGTGTTTTTCTTTATCAAGAACTTTGATACTTGTGTAATTCATAGAATGCCCTGTTGTGTTAACATGAGATGCTAGAGCGCATCTTTCAGGATGAAGCCTAGCATCACTTTTGTGTGATGTAATCCTTCCTTTCCTTTGAAAGATGCGCTCTAGCATCTCATGTTAACACAACAGGGCATTCTATGAATTACACAAGTATCAAAGTTCTTGATAAAGAAAAACACCTTTCCAAACGTTTATTCCTGGAAATGTCCCACATTTTCATGAATAACAACTGTATCAACAAAAAGACAGATGTTAAACAACTGAGTGTCATTTACTCATATTTGCTAAACTGCGAAAAATTGGAGAACTTACATATCTCCCCAAATTTCAACTCTTCACAACCATAATTAGAATCTGTGTTTTGGCCGATTCCACCAGTAAATTTCATTCCACTCAAAATACGTATATAATAATTCTCTCCTCACGATTTATTAATAATTGTTAATTTAAATTCCCATTAATAATAATATAGTTTATTCAACTGCCTCTGGTCGGTTTAACAAATTCTAACATAAAATTCTGAAAATCTCATCATCTGAAGTGATTTGGCAACGTTTTGGCACACGCCCACAATTCGTTCCATCTTTCAATACTGACATTGACATCCTTCGGCCTTCTGTCAAAGGGTTTCATGTCACTCATCATTCCATGACCACTAATTTGTGCAATCATCAAGTGGCTTCACGATGTAATGCTCTAAATTTTTTAAATAATTTTTAATCTGTTTTTAACTTGTTCTTGTCATATTTTATATAAGTTTGACTATTGTACAATCTATCCAGCTCTCACCATGTTACTGGACGTTTCCCTCATCCTATACGTAAACAACAATTAGCAACATCCTCACATACTACTGTAAGTTGAGTCAATTTAAATTCATTTTACACCTTTGTTGCTACTGTTATCATTGTAATTGCAGCTCCTGATGATGATGGCAAAGTCCATTGAAAGCTAGAGAGAATTAAAAAAAGTATAAAGAGTCCTCTTTGCTTAAATTTTGTCGAAGTACCCAACAAAAGGCGGAAGCTTTAATTTTTCACCTATATATATATATAGGGTGACTTTGAAGTTGAGTCATTAATTTTCAGATAATGATTGTAGAAGGAAGATAAACCAAAATATGTGTGTAAAAATAAAAAAAAAATGTTACCTTGTTTTATAAAGTATCCTCCCGACAAGTATTTCAGTGCGGACCTATATTTGATCGTGTGGTCTTGGAGCACCGGCATGCCCTCCCCTGTGAGGTCTTAAGTCACCTGATTTACGAGCCCTTTGTATAGTACTACATTCAGCATTTTCGTAAACATGTGCCATTTTTTATTCACTATTCACTCACGCGTTACCGACTGACACATCGACTGAATACAACTGAATAAGATTGTACAATCCGTCCTCACTATAAACTGCATTTTTTGAAAGATGAAAGACAGAGTCCCGCTGCTTGGCTTAACCAACACAGTATACTCTACCAACCAAATATACATAGGTCAGACCTCCAGATCTCTTAAAGGAAGGATTACATCACACAAAAGTGATTCTAGGCTTCATCCCGAGAGATGTGCTCTAGCATCTCATGTCAACACAACAGGGCACTCTATGAACTACACAAGTATCAAAGTTCTCGATAAAGAAAAACACCTATCCAAACGTTTATTCCTGGAAATGTCCCACATTTTCATGAATGACAACTGTCTCAATAAGAAGACAGATGTTAAGCAACTGAGCATCATTTACTCATATTTGCTAAACTGCGAAAAATTGGAGCACTTAGACATCTCTCCAAATTTTGACTCTTCACAACCATAAATGGAATCTGTTTTTTGGGCTATTCCACCAAAAAATTCCAGTCCATTCAAATTTTAATATTTTTTTCTCATAATTAAATAATAGCCGTTAATTCAATTGCCCATCTCATAATAATGTAGTTAATTCAACTGCCTCTGGTCGGGTTGACAAGTTCTTACCCAACATATCTTGAAAATCACACCATCTGAAGTGATTTGGCAACGTAGCACACGCCTTACAGAAGAATTTTCGTTCCATCATTCCACACGGACACTGCTAACCTTCGGCCATCTGTCAAAAGGTTCATCTTACTCATGATTCTATGCCCAACATTTTGTGCAATCATCAAGTGGCTTCACGATGTAATGCTTAACTTTCATTTTAAATATTTTTAATCTGTTTTTAATTTGTTTTGTTTTTAGTTTGTATAATTTTGACCATTGTACCGTGTATTCAGCTTTCACCATGTTTCTGGGTGTTTCCCTCATCCTTAACGTAAACAACATTTAGCAACATCCTCACATACTACTGTAAGTTAATTTAAATTCATTTTACACAATTGTTGCTACTGTGATCAATGTAATTGCAGCTCCTGATGATGATGGTAAAGACCATTGAAAAAAAAATATAAAGAGTCCTCTTTGCTTAAATTTTGTCGAAGTACCCAACAAACAAATACCCAACAAAAGGCGGAAGCTTTAATTTTCACCAATATA